CCACGAAAACCCAAACTGTTTCTTTTAGGCAGAAAAGTGATGGCTGATCTTCCTAGATCACTCTTTTCCCAATAATTGTCTCAAGCTCACTGCAAAATTCTGGATACAACAGAAATATCTGCTGGAGTGCGGACAAGAATGTTATATTTATAGGAATTCCCTTTATCGTCAGCTGTCTTGTCCTGAGACAGATCCTTAATCCTCCTGTTTCTTCAAATCTGGCTTTAAAGCTTTCCTGAAGAGTAGAGAGACTATTTTGTCCTAGTGTTTAGATTACCCATAGATGCTCTGTAGTCTAGACCTTTTTATTCATAATTTCAGAAAGACTCAAAATTATTTCAAATTAATACAAATAATATTTCTGTCCTATTGACTTCAAGTGACAGTAAGCAAATTTATGAATCAAATGCATTTGCTCATATGCTTGCTTCACTAAACCTTTGAACAATTTTCCAAATCGCTAACACATTTGTAAACACATTACTTTTCAATGTGTGTAGCTTGTTTTCAAATAAATACTCATTTTTTTATAAACCCTTTATCTTAATGTAGATGAGTACAGTAGGAGTTTTACATGGTTCAAAACTCCAGAAATTACAACCAGTACTAGAGAGGCTGTTTAGCTACCATTCATGCTGTTTTAGAGAAGTTGAATAGTGGCATGACACTCTCAGTTCCCTTCTAAAGAGTATAGTCAATTGCAGTTACCACTTTCCTGTGGCTATCACTCCATTGAAATTGGCTTTTTCACTTTAAGACTGAAACAATTCTTTTTAATTTAGCAGAGCTTGAAGCAAGAGAGTGGACAGCAGAATGTAGAGAGCAGCCCTCAGTATATTTTGGAGCAAGCTTTTCTTAAAGTTTGGAACATTGACGTACTAATTAAAACAAGCAATAACTTAATATCTGTTTTGTATCTTAAAAAATCTGGTTTATATCTTAAAAATACAAATGAAAGAAAAGTGTCCAATAATCTAATGGTTTTGTCTGCAACAATGTTAGTCACCTATGCTGGAGTGTACATTCCTAGCATGGCAATAGTAGGAAAAAATTGGTCTGAAATTCTAGTTGCTAAATAGTTTCAGAAATTATGCAGCTCCTTCAGAGCTAGATTGATTTTGTTGTTCAGAAACGTTGTCTTTCCAAATCCGTTCTGTTCAAATCAGAAAAAATGTAAACAGTAGCATTCACAGAGATCAGTGTAGCTGTTAATTTTTTAGAACACGGCTTTCAAGTGAATCTTTTCAGTCAAGAGTCCTTCCATTTTTATTGATAATTTCCTTTCCTGTGGAAAGAAAGTTATTTTTGCTTGAACAGAGATACAGTTTTCCCAGTGTTTTAGCTTATTTATCCTACAGTTTAACATTCTGCATAAACTCTTTACATCTAAAAATTCTTTTAACATTTGCATTGCTTTCTGCAACAAGCAATGGGACTCAAAGGGGATACTTAACCAGCTGAAGCCTCATTCTTGTAATTCAAGAGGTAGGTTGTAATTGGAAGGTAGGTTAGATGAAACTCCTCCTTGTTCATTAAATGGCATTGCCTGGAAATGTTTATACATCAGTTTTTGCATAATTCTAAAGTCTCCGTGAAATCTACAGAAATAATTAGAGTGGAGGAGTTAGAGTAAAAAAGAAATTAAATTGTTATAAGGAAACAGTAAAGGATGCATTTTTCCTACTTTGTAGTATTTGCTTCCAAAATTGATAATACTTCTTGGGCAAGATATCTGTTCTTAGAGATCCAGAATACATTCGTTTCATTTTTCTTCTTTATTGGTTACCATTTAGAAATGCTAATAAGTGACTGTATTGGTTGTGTTAACAGTAGCCACATCATTCAAATGCACTTTAATGAGGCTTATCTCCTAGTAACACACATTTTATTGCTTATTTATAGTTTCCATTCTAGAAGGTGTCAGTGTTAAAGATGAAAATAGAAACTGAAGTTTTTCTTCATTTCTGCGAGTGCATTGCGATTGCCCTTCTCTCACAATAGCATTATTTGAATTACCACTATTAGTCCATCTATAATGAAAAATTTTTTTGCTAAAAAAAATCATTTTAGCATTTGTTAATTAACCCTAATGTAGCTAATCCTCTTTGTGTTTAAAAATCCAAATGAAGGAAATGGAAGTTGAACCATTGAGTTCAACAAGCTTTGGATGATACTTCATTTTATTGGGGTGTTTTTTCAAAAATGGGTAGCATCTCAGTGTCAGAATTTTTTTTTTTCAGGCCAAGTCAAGCTACTCAACATCATTTTGAAAAAAAAAAAAGTCATCTTAATAATGACTGCTTTATTTAATTAATTGTGGTAGCTAGGCAGTTTTCATTGCTTCTCATTTTTTCCCAAATTAATAGAAAATCAAAATGGCCATTATTGAATGACAACAGGTGTCTCTGTTCACCAGAGATCATTTAATGTGATATACCAAGTGGAATTCCAGTTTTATTTTAATTTTTTTTTATGTACAGGGTGAATTTCACCAAGGAAAACTCTGCAGGTATAAAAACACATTTGTGCATGTCCTTGCACATACAGTTCCTTGTGCAATTCCATTTATTATTGTTATCATAGAATCATAAAATCATAGATTGATACATTTTGGAAAGGAACTCTGGAGGTCATGTGGCAGAATATCCACACATAATGTCCTAATTTATCTATATGCTCCACTGTTTTATTATCACTGCTGCCTTACAGGGGATATTATAATTACTTAGCAAGCACTTTCTCCAAACAGTCTTAGAAGCCAATGGAAAATTGCCTCTTTGTTTCCTGGCGTTAAGTCCACCTCCTGCAGCAAACGAATGGTGTGTCGGATGGATCTGCATGATTTTTCCTCAACCCACCAACTTTAAAATGTCAGCCTTTGTAACAGATTTTCCTCAGCTCTGTTGGGAAATTTCAACTCCCACGAAGTTTCAAAATTTGCATAAACAAATTCTACTCTTACATTTCTTCTTTGCTCCTAGTTTACGAACAAGACCAACAGGTATCACTTATTTAACTGTTGATGTTCCTTTATTCCTGACCCAGTCATTTAAGCTGATGAGAAAGGAAGACATTCAACTATTTTAACAAGGCAGTTTTAGAATGCTATAACCTTAAAAGACAAGTAGAAATAGTAGCAATAAGGTAGGGTAACTAGTCCCTATCCAGCGAAGGAACATGGCAGCAGAAATGATGATCTGAAAATCGTTAAAGGCTCTGTATTTCAAAAGTCTTATCTCATCCTCTTTGACACAGTAATTGGGCATCAGCTGATGAATTAATTCTTGGTGGACAGGTAAGCAAATCAAAGTTAACATTCAAATTGGACCATTTTTGGATGTTTAAGTAAAAAGAATAAAGATAAAATGGTTGTGAAGACAGAATTATCTCTATATGCTCTGAGATCCCTAAAGAACAAGGTTAAAACTTATTTGCAGGCTAATGTGAAGAAGTATATTCTTAAACTTTGGCCAGTTTCCAGGACCAATTATTTTAGATTCCTAATCAGTATAAAATTCACTGGAGCAGGTAAAAGGAGAAGTTTCATTCCCATTCATACAGAAACCGTCTTTAAAACCTCAGTCTAAATAGGTTTGAATGTAATTTATGTGCACTGTAAGGCTCTTCACAGTGCCAAGGTAGTGTAAGGAGTCATTTCTGAAAATGAAACAGGAGCCCGCAGTGCCTTGGAGTTTCAGAACATATCCACACGGATTCTTCTTTTAACTATATGCTCATGTGCATGTTTATTATCTTGCACATTTTGAGTTTAGTTGATATCTGTTCTTATATGATGAGAAATTAGGGACTAATTAGTAAGTCTGATAATCATCGAAACATACAATGGTTAGAGTTGGAAGGGACCTTAGAGATCACCTAGTTTCAAGACCCCCGCCTGGCCAGGGACACCTTCCACTAGACCAGGTTACTCATCAAAAGCCCATCCAACTTGGCCTTGAAAAGTTCCAGGGATGGGACAATCACAGCTTACCTGGGCAACCTATTCCAGTGTCCCACCACCCTCATGGTGAAGAATTTCTTCCTAATATCTAACCTAAATCTACCCTCTTTCAGTTTAAAACCATTACCCCTCGTCCTGTGACTGTACTCCTTGATAAAGAATCCCTCTACAACTTTTCTGTAGGCCCCCTTTAAGTACTGGAAGGCTACTCTAAGGTCTCCCTGGAACTTTCTCTTCTCCAGGCTGAACAACCCGAACTCTCTCAGCCTGTCATCATCTGGGCTTGCTCTTTCTTGTGTTGGGACAAGCTGGACACAATACTCCAGGTGGGGTCTCATGACAATGGAGTAGAGGGCCAGAATCATCTCCTTTGACCTGCTGGCCATGCTTCTTTTGATGCAGCTGAGGAAATGATTGGCTTTCTGGGCTGCGAGTGCACACTGTTGGCTCATGTTGAGGTTCTCATCAACCAATACCCCCTAGTCCTTTGTTCAGGGCTGCTCTGAAGCCATTTTTTGCCCAGCCTGTATTTGTGCTTGCAATTGCACTGACCCAGGTGCAGGACCTTGCATTTGCCCTTGTTGAACTTCAGGCCAACCTCTCAAGCCTGTCCAGGTCCCTTTGAATGGCATTCCTTCCCTCCAGTATGTCAACCACACCATACAGCTTAGTGTCATTAGAAAAATTGAATCTTCTTGCTGAGGGGTTTCCTTGATTGAGAGCAACTGCTTCCAAAGGTCACTGGCTCTTGTGGATCAGCCTTTTTCTCTGATGTGCACAAATCTTCTAATTTTATACTTCAAGAAACCCTGCAGCAGTTGAACCATGGTCCTGATTGCAACAAGCCTTGTGCAATTTTCCCTTACTGTGTGTTACATGGTGCCAATTGCTATATATAATACTGTTGATATGGAAAGTGATCTTGAAAAGGCATAAGAACAAAAATATTTGTATGTGCCAAGGCTAATGAAAAATCCACTTGAAAACATTAAAGCTGTTCTTTATTTGTTTTTTTGTGTTTGGTTTTTTTTTTTTTCAGGGCAGGTTCTAGATATGCTGGAGAAATATAATCTGAGCAATAATACTCTTGTGTACTTTACATCTGACCAAGGGGCTCATGTTGAAGAAATCTCCAGTTCTGGAGAAGTCCATGGAGGACACAATGGAATATATAAAGGTGAACACTCTGATTATTTTTGAAAATTTTGTCAGAAGCTATCTCCTTTGTTTTACTCCAAAAATGTAATGTACTCTACAGCCAAGAATGTCAAAACTTGATTCCTTAATAGTAAGCTTTTCATTGCTTTAATTCTAAATTGTAACATAGGCTGTAAATATACAGTCTTTACTTGTCAAATACTGTGTCTCAACCAGAGTACATGCTCATCTCTGTGGAGTTCTTAGACTAGCAAATACACTCTGGAAATGGCCAGAGATACATCTTTGTAAGGGTTATAGTACACAGAGTACTTTACTGTCATGGCTGGATAGCAGAATAAAGAGGAAAAAAAGGTGGTTTGTGAGCCATCAGAAATCACAAATGAGAGCTAAATACCACGGAGTAAGTGCTATCACACAAAGAGAAGATAGAGAGAAGATGGGAGAATGAGCAACAGCGTTTAGCATACTCATTACAGAAAAAAGTAGAAAAGGGAAGTTAGGTTTAAAAAGAAAAATATGAAACTGGATTGAGTTTGGGATGGGAAAGTTCCGAAACAGCCAGAACACAAGATTTCAAGCAGAAAAATCTGAGCTGGAGAAGAGTTTTGAAAATAATGCATAACACACTGACTGAATTGAATTCTGATTTGGGAACAGAGAGACTATCGTTCAAATGACAGAATTTAGTTGCATTCTTTTAGTGCAGGTCTTGAATTAATTAATTAATTCAATGATTAATCATTAATTATTATTTAAACAACAATTATATAATTATTAATTAATTATTAGTTAATTAATAATTCAAAGTATGTTTACTCTGTGGAGATTTTAAATGTGTTTAAAGTCTACCTTATTGTGATACACTTTCTCCTGCTGTTATCACACAACAATACTGAAAGATACTGCTTTTGTTGCAATATGGTGGTCTCGTAGAAAGATTGGCCTTCCTCGTTTTGTCCGTTCCCATATCCCTGGCATGGTGATCCCTTCAGTCAGCAGGAATGTAATACACCACTGGAAAACAGACAGCATTGTCAAATATGAAATAAAGAATTAACTTCAACAAAGTATACAGAAAACAATGTTTTCCACTGTGCAAGTGATGGGCACACAGCATCAGGAAAATGCATGTCAAAATGTTTTTAAAAATCTTCAATCTTACTGAAAGAGGGTAAGAATGCTTGGTTTTATTATTTTCATGAAATGCAGTGAATATTTTTGTCCCTTTACCAGAGAGAAAGTTCTTTTCATTCTTTCACAAGGAAGTGGCTGTGTAATTTGTTTTCCCCTCATATTTCAGGGGACAAAGTCAAAGAAATCCAGCATTTTTTGGAAAGTCATTTACCAAGCCTAAAACTTTTAATTGAAGAGAGAAAGTAAATTACCTTTGGGTATGATTTTTTTAAAAACTAGTGTTGCAGAATTACAAAATCATATAGTAGTTGAGTCTGGAACGTACCTCCCAAGGTCTGCAGTCCTAGCCCTTGCAGAGCAGGGTCAGCTAGAGCAGGTTGTTTAGGGCTGCGTCCATTCCAGTTATGAAAATCTCCAGTGATGGAGACTCCACAGCCTCTCTGGCCACCATGCTCCATAAAAAAGCTTTTCCTTAAGTTTAAATGGGATTTCTGGTGTTTCAGTTTGTGCCCATTGCCTCTTGCCCTGTCACTGGGCACCACTGAAAAGAGACGGTCTCTGTTCTCTTTTTTCAGGTAAATCCATGTATCTATACAGATCAATAAGATCCCACTGAGTCTTTTCTTCTCCAGCTGAACAGTTAAAGCCTTCTCTTCTCCAACCAAACAGTTACAGTTTTTCCTCTTATGTCAAATGCTCCAACTGTTTAATCATCTTTATAGCTGTCCTTTGTCCAGTATGTCAATGTCTCTTCTAGTCCTGGGGAGCCTTTGCATTTGGACCCAGTACTCCAGGTGTGTCTCACCAGTGCTGAGCAGACGATAAGGATAACCTCCCTCAACTTGCTGGAAAAGTTGTTGCTAATGCAGCCCAGAATGCTGTTGGCCTTCTTACAACAAGGATGGCTCATGTTTCGGTAGTTGTCCACCAGGACCCCCAAGTCCTTCTCTGCAAAGCTGCTTTCAGCCAGTCAGCCCCTAGCCTGTGCTGGTGCTAGAAGTTATTCATCTGCAGATATGGGGCTCAGTATTTCACTTTGCTGAACTTCACAAGGTTCCTTATGGCCCATTTCTCCAGCTGGATGGTAGCACATCCATCAGTGGATTAGCCATGCCTCTCAGCAAAATTGCAAAATAGAAGAAAGATAGATATATGAAGTAAACAATAACAATACAGTGAGGTTTCGAGTGAGAAGGCTCCACAATTTTTAGTCAGTAGATATCTGTTTGAGAAATAACACTTATATTTTAAGAGAGCTCTGAAGGAAATGCTTCACAAGCAAAACAAGCAATGCTAAAGTCATAAGGTTACAAACTATCAGACTGGTCCCCTTGGACTAACACCAGAGTGAGCTGTATCTTGAACGTTATCACTTAGGTCTTACATAGTGATTTAAGTAATTAAGGAACCATATGGTTACATATCTGTAGCTGTAGGCACAGCCTGAGGTGTTTTAGAAGCTCTAAAAAATATTTGCTTTCTAGAATAGCAGACAAAAGATACAGGATAAATGATGAGGAGAAAAAAAAAAAGACAAATGCACTGGGGAATATGCCTTCCTGGAGAACTTTGATTGAATGAAGTCTTTTTTACAAGCCTTGCAAAACTTCGTATTCATACTTACAGAATGGAGAACAATTTGAAATAAATCTTACCTGAACTAATAAAAAATCTGATTGATAGGGTTACTTGGGGATTGATGGGGTTTCTTATTTTAAGAATTAATTATGTGGTTTACGAGACGGAAAATAATCACTGTATAAGAAACAAAATAATTATTGTATCAGAGACATTCTTAATAAGTTAAAAAATGTTAAAATACCTGTGCAATAAGTTGAATACAGTTGTATCACTTTAAAATACTATGAAATCTGTTTTATCTTCCCTTTCTCCATCTCCATATCAGTCCTCAATTTAACAGCTATATTTAGGCAGAAGTGGAAGTGATAAATTAATTGCATAATTAGCAATTTTCATACATAAAACTTATTCATAGTAACAGTCACGTACAATGAGATGTGTCATTGACCTGTATATCTTTGGAAGATTTAATGAAATCTGGACCCGTGAAGCCCTAAGTTTCAGGCACTGATGTAGCCATGTGCCTCAAAAAGCAAAAGGATGATCTCTACGCTGCTTGTGCTCATGTGTGCACGCACTAGGAATTTGCTTCATCTGATGAGCAGTTCAAAAAACTGGGAGACATGCACGTCCTTTCTCTCTGTCTCCTCTAGACAATCTCTGCTACTTACCTTTTGTGTATGAGTGCTGCATGAATGCAAATATGAATCAAGCCACTTAACCTTGTCAGAGCTGGAGCAGTATGCTCAGCAGTAATTGGTTCTGCTCTAAAATCAAAAGCTCTCAACAGATCTCTGCAATTTGAGCTCACTAATTTGTCTTGATATCCAGCCAAATGAGCACCAATAATAAAATTTACAAGGAGTTCGGAAAGTTAGGCTAGCACTGCAAGACTAAAAGAAAAAAGGGGAAATTGCTGTTTGAAGGTTTTATTACTGTGGATTCTAACTATGGCACAGTCACCATAAATTTGGATAGCTCTTGAAATTAGAAGCCAGAGCTAATATAGTGTTTAACTAGTTGCTGTCATACACAGTCTGGTTTATGTCTTCAGTATCCTTTTCTAGAAGACATTATATAGTAATACTACATACTACATGGCCTGCTTGAGTAACCTCATCTCCTTCCATGACAATGTGACCTACTTAGGTGATGAGGGAAAGAATGTGGATGTTGTCTACCTAGACTTTAGTAAAGCCTTTGACACCTTTTCCCACAGCATTCTCCTGGAGAAACTGACTACTTGGACAGCTGTACACTAGGTAAAAAACTGACAGGATATCCAGGCCCAAAGAATGGTGGTGAATGGAATTAAAACCAGTTGTCAGCCAGTTGTGAGCAGTGTTCCCCAGGGCTCAGTATAGGGGCCAGTTCTGTTTAATATCTTTATCAACGGCCTGGATGAGGGGTTCAAATGCACCTTCAGTAAGCTTGCAGACAACACCAAATTGGGTGGTAGTATTGATTTGCTTGAGGATAGGATGGCTCTACAGTGGGATCTGGGCAGGCTGGATCAATGGGCTGAGGCCAGTGGTATGAGGTTTAATAGGGCCAAATCCCAGGTCCTGCACTTGGGTCACAACAACCCCATGCAATGCTACAGGCTTGGGGAAGAGTGCCTGGAAAGCTGCCTGGCAGAAAAGGCCCTGGGGGTGTTGTTTGACAGCCACTGAATATGAGCCAGCAGGGCCTCCAGGTGTCCAACAAGGACAAAATCATCCTGGCCTGTATCAGAAATAGCGTTGCCCCCAGGAGTAGGGAAGTGATTGTCCGGCTGTACTCTGCACTGGTGAGGCTGCACCTTGCTGTGTTCAGTTTTGAGCCCCTGGCTACAAGAAAGACACTGAGGTGCCGGAATGTATTCAAAGAGCAACAAAAATAGTGAAAGGTTTAGAGCACAAGTCTTATGAGGAGCAGCTGAGGGAACTGGGTTTGTTCAGCTTGGAGAAAAGGGAGACTTTATTGCTATGTTCAACTACCTAAAAGGAGGTCTCTTTTCCCAAGTAACAGATGATATGACAAGAGGAAATGGCCTCAGGTTGCACCAGGAGAGGTTTATATTGGATATTTGAAAAAAATTCTTCTGGAACAGTTATCAAGCATTAGAACAGGCTGCTCAGGGAAGTGGTCGAGTCGTCATCCCTAGAGGTAGATGTGGCACTTGGGGACATAGATTAGTGGTCGACTTAGAAGTGTTATATTTAAGGTTGGATCTGATGATCTTAAAGGTCTTTTGCAACAATTCTGTGATTCTGTGAATACTGAAGTGATGGATCAAAATCATGGCCTCCCTTTCCAGCG